CCATCAGGTATTGAACGTGAGCGCATGCAAGCATGTCGATGAGGTTATAATTGGCGCCCCTGTGGAGATCACCGAGGACCTGATTAGGACTATGAATATCAGCATTGTTGTACAGGGTTCGATAAGTCCGTCTTCTATACAGTATAGATTTGTTGTGAGGCTGTTGGTAGGTTCCCATCGACCCAGGTGTGCTTCCGACGATGAGATTGGAACAGTGAGTGTCAGTTCTCGTCCGTGAATATTGATGGTTGTGGCAGATGACGCAAGTCAATGAAGTCCCGAAGAGTTTGGGTATCCTCCGTGACGTAGAAAGCGACTACCCTTATCTAACATCAGCTACGATCGCGGAACGAATCGCTATCAATCGTCTTATGTAGGCCTTTCACTTGATACTTCCCTTGTGCTGACTATATGTAATTTCAGGTACATTAGCCGTAATAGTAAACGTAGCTTGATTGAAAATGAATACTATTGCAATAAGCAGCACGTAGCAGGCGACTCATAAGCTCCCCATGATCTGCGACCCTAAGTGTTCGGGCCTCAGATTTCCCATTTTGCTAGCCTCGCTGCATTGTGTCACGAGTACCGTGTGCATTGCTGTCTCGGAGACAATGTCTCTTCATGCTCTCTATGCATGTCTTTTTACATTCATAGATGGCATGGTTACCTGATATTATTATCAGCTATTTCTGTCACAAATCAATTTTCTTTCGCTGAGTCATCTGGGAAAGATGACCACATCGTCAGGTTGCTGTGATTGGTGCGTGAAGGTGACGCACAAGGCTGTGTGCAAGGTGGCCTGCACACGTGAATTGATCGATTTTTCCGTAGCTAAAACCAGGCCAACCGCTCAATAAGTATCCTTGCTTTCACATCACATCGGCTACAAGTGTCGAGTTGCACAACATGGCGACACCTGTGGGATCACACGATACCCCAACTGATGAGCACGATCGAGCTGACGCTCCCGGAGCTGGGAACGATGCCACCACACAGAGGGCCCGTCGTAGGCAGCGTAGAGAGCATCACCATGAGCAAGACCGCCATGACGACCCCGCGGGGAAAGTTGAGTTTGAGGCCCCTCCTGAACATCCTACCGAGGAAGAGCTGAGGAGGGAGGAGGAGCAACTTGACGAGGCTCGAGAGCGTCCCGAGGGCTTCGTGTCGCTTGGAGAAGAATCTGACGATGCGAGCGACCATGGGACCCACGGCCAGCCAGGGGAGAGACACCTGGCGAGTCATTCCAGGAAGCGATAGAGAGGTTGGTCGAGGAGCAGCGAGAGCTGAGAAGCAGCTCCCTCGATCAGCAGATAGATTTGCCAGGAACCTCATGGATGCCATCCATG